GATGCAGGGCTCGATCCCAGGACCCTGGGATCATGACCTGAGCTGAAGGCAGACGCTTAACGACTGAGCCACCCAGGCACCCCCAGAGATTTTTTTTTAAAATGCTGTTTCTGATTCTAATTCTCTTTTTCTCTTGAGGCAAGCAAAGCAGACACACTTGCCAAGGATAACTGAGAATGTAAGGACGATCCTTGCCTGGGCAGCTTGAGCAGGCTGTGTGCTAAATGCAACTTCGAACCATGCCCTATAAATAGCTGTTCATTGTCAGCGTGTGTGAAAAGACAAGAGTGGGTGTGTGGTGGTATGATTCAGGCCTAATTAAGTAGTTGCGTCTGCGCAGGGTTACAAGGAGTAGCTGTTCCAACTGATAATCTAGTCAGTAGGCAACTGAGAGGGTTCGCCTCTGACCAAACAGACTGAAGGGAAGCCGTTCGATACTGGTTCTGCCTCCAACCATGGCAAAAATCATCTTGAGGCACCTCATTGAGACTCCAGTGCGCTACGAGGAGGAGTTTGAAGCTCGAGGCTTGGAAGATTGCAGGCTGGATCATGCTTTATACGCACTGCCGGGGCCAACCACTGTGGACCGGAGAAAAGCCAGGGCGGCCCAGGTTCCTCCAGTGGACTCAGAGGCGGAGATGCTGACCCAAGCAGGCAAATCCCACTTCCAGATCCTGCTGGATGTGGTCCAGTTCCTCCCTGAAGATATCATCATTCAGACCTTCGAAGGCTGGCTGCTGATCAAGGCTCAGCACGGAACCAGAATGGATGAGCATGGTTTTATCTCAAGAAGCTTCACTCGACAGTATAAACTGCCAGATGGCATCGAAACCAAAGATTTGTCTGCCATCCTCTGTCACGATGGAATTCTGGTGGTGGAAGTAAAGGATTCGGTTGGGACTCAGTGAAATCTTTATTCATACGGCAAGGAAGATTATAGCTCAGCCAACGGTACCACGGGAATGTTTGTATTAACCACCTTTGAAATGATTTTTACGAAGATTAAAAATAGAGACACAGTTCTGGGTATGTTGAGGTTGTGTTTGTTATTCTTACTCAGAGAGGAAAATCGTTAAATGTTCCTATAGCTCAAAGGGATGCTATTCTTATACCTGAAACATTGACAGTTTAGGAGATGTCTTGGATACTAGTGAAGACTCAGAATTATTTCTTCATTACTCAAAAAATGCCCCAGAAACTGCATTTGTAATAATTGATGGCAAAAGAGCCATATGAATTTCTTATCCATTTTATGAAAACTTCTTACAGTGCTAAAAAAAGTTGTGATTCCCTTCACTTGACAAGCTTTTCAACGAATTTTAATTAAAGTGGAATTTGTAAATATAGAGTCTGAAAGTTAAAATACAGCACTTAGAAATTTGGCCTGAAATATATTTATGATTCATTACAGCTGTTACTGCCTTAAACATAATACTGGAATTTTCAGATGCAAATTCTATTTTTAAAAAGTTCTAAATCTGTACCTCATTTTTTAAAAGTCTGAGTCCTGTTTGAACGTATTTTTAACAACAGCATATGTTCTGTGGATATTTATGCAATATTACAAAGATATGTGTTGACTCATATTCATATAAGTTTGTATTAAGTTTAGGAAACCACTTTAAAAAGTGTAATTACTGAATTCAAAGAGTTGTACTCTACGTTCTTTGATGCTACTTAAAATTTTAGATTTCAGAAGATGGCAAAATGCACCGCATCTGCTCCCTGCATAATCCTTAACTTTAAATAGCCTGGCAGGTAGTAGAGGTTCCTGGGCTGGAGCTTGCACAGGGGCCGAGAAGGGCTGAGCCATTGGTGGAGGTTAAGGATTTGCTTTAGGAATATTGCCATCTACAGCTGGTCTGTGACATTCCAAAGATTTGCCATCTCATTCTGTACATGCTAAATATTTCTCGGGAGGAAGTAGCCACTTTTACCCCACACACCACATGTGTTGCCGGCGAGTCTGTGCACAGTACTGGGAATAGAAGGGGCTGAGTGTGCAAAGAGCCAGGGTGGACGCAGGCCACTGACCACACCCCTGTGCTCCTCCACAGTGCTTTGTCATTTGAGTGAAAATGCAAGAGACCCGAAGCAAGAGAAAAAGAAATCAAACAGTTCTAAAGAAGTTTTGAAAGCAAATGTGATTGGAGAGATTTGTTTACAATGTAATTAAGTTGAAAGGATTTTGAAACTATGTGTTAATGCTTATTCACTGAGGTTTGTGCAACTTAAGAAATTTTGTTTGACAAAGTGAATATCACAGACCAGCTTTGCTACATTACAAAGATGATCATAATTAATGGGATTCCATCTAATATGATTAGAGCTGGGATACCATTTGTTCCCCACATTAGATAATTCTTTCTTAATGATTGGCAGGATGGTGTGAAAACAAAGTAGTGCTTTGAGAAGCCAATCAATAAACAAAAAAAAATCCCTCTCATTTGGCCTTAACCCTACTCTAGATGAGATCCTACTTCTGGAAAAATTCAGGAAGTAAAATTCTTTTTTTTTCTTTTTTTAAGATTTTATTTATTTATTTGA